CTCTGAGATCTTTACTGCTATAACAAAAGCAGCTGCTGATCACAGAGGCCCCTGTTGACAGCTGGGGTGGGAGAAGGTCCATCAGAGAGTGGGACGGAACCTTCTGTGTAGGCACCTTTTAAGGCTGTGGACATTTCTCATTTTGTTCTTTTCTTCTTCTCAAATCAGACAGATGCAAAGTTCAGTGCTACGACTGCCCCGTCTGCCCAGACCCTGTGAAAGGCAAGTCCTCTTGAGCATGTTTGGGAATGGGTGGTGTTTGGGGAAGAGCTCATGGTGTCAGCAGATCCCACTGTTAATTATTGCTGTATGCTGAGTCCCTTCCCCCAAAGGGAGAGAACTGTTACTATGGAGATCCACTTTTGTTGTTCTCCTTCCTCTGACTTGGTGATGGAACCAGGGTTGGACAGTTGGCAGTGACCAAGGAGGATCCAGAAGAATAAGTTCAGTCCTATCTGAGCGTGTGTTGAAGCTTTTCTTTTCCTGTCTGGCTGGTTCATGGTGTGATTTAACACAAGCTTTCTCTGTACCCAGCTCCTAGAGAGGAGGTTGCCTACGTGACGTGTACCTACAGGAACACATGCATCGACCAACCTGACTTCCTGGCCACCATTGATCTCAACCCTAAATCTCCCTGTTATGGCCAGGTACTTGTGTCTCAACTGTTTTTTTAGTGAGCTGGTGATGTGCTGCTGGCTCTGTGCTTCATAGTGCCCCCAGATTCAGGACATTTACTGGTTTTTTTGCTGTTTATGCCTTGTGTTTTCTTGTCTTCCTTCATCTTTCTGTCTTGTCCACCCTGGTTTGACACTGGCCTCTCGCCTGTTCATGTCCTGACAAGACCTGTCTGGGAAACCCCTTGTGACTTTTGTCATGGCAAGTCTACTTCTTGCTGCTGTTACCTGTGAGATAGTGATGTTGTCTGCCAGGAATCTCACCATCCTGCTCTCTTCCTCTGTCCTCTGTACACCTGCCTCTAGCTGAGTCATCTCCATCTCTGTGTCCTGGGGACAGGTTGGCTCTGACTCACTTCCCAACTCACTTCCAGAGCATCTTAGTGCTGCTCAGGAGCTTTTGAGCACGTGCCCTGAATCACCCTGTGAGTGGCTGCTCAGCGTGGAAAATGGTCTCTAGTGACCCAGGTGGTTCAGGATATCCAGCACTTTTGGGGAGTTCAGCATCTTTCTGTTGTGCTGGGATTTCAGAGATGTTGTGTTGTGCACTGCACCAGCCTGGCTGCTGTCATCCTGAGTGGGAAATCAGCGTTACCTGTCTCTGAAGCTGCAACATCAGATTATCAAAATCAGGGGTTTAGATGTGACCTGATTCGTCCATTACTACAAGAGCTTAGAAGAAAATGCACTTTAAAGCCAATACAGGCTTCCAAAATTTTTAAACTCATTTTGAACTCCATTCTTAGGAGGAGTTTGCAGAGCAATGCACCACTTCTGTCAAGTTGGTAATCATCATTTTTTCATGTACGTAAATTTTCTGAATTTTAGTGATATGGGGTTAGGAATTTTTGAAAGAATCTCCACATTTCTCAGCTGCACACAGAACCCTCATGAAGAGCAATGGCCAGTGCAGGGAGCAGTTGTCTCCTCCCTGAGTCTCTAGAGGCAGTCCCAGCTACGGTCAAATGGAGGCTACCAAGACAGATGGATCTGCCAACATTAGGGTCCCCATTTCTCCCTGCCTCCCTGAGTGAACCCTAACTCTACCTTGACTGCCTAGGTGATCCACCGCCTGCCCATGCCCAACCTCAAAGACGAGCTGCATGCCTCAGGGTGGAGCACTATCTGCACCTGCCATGACAATTTCACAGCGAAAAGGAACAAGCTGATCCTTCCCTGTTTGATTTCTTCCCGCATTTACGTGGTGGATGTGGGTACACAGTGCCGGGCTCCCAGGCTGTGTAAGGTATGCTTGAGCTGATTCAAAAGACAAGTTTCTGGGAAGGAGTTGGGAACTGGTACTTCGTGAATAATACCTAGGGAAGAAGGGTTCTCTCTTCCATCTTCTCTTCCAGACTGATTTTAGAGAGGTGGGTCATGTTTCCCTCTCAGCTCTCTGCTTTTCAGACCGAGGAAGGTTCCAATCAACGTTTCGTTCTTTCTCTGTTTCATTCAGAGTGTCCAGTCACTGAAGTCAAGCAACGACCCATGGCTGCCCCCCACCCAGATAGTGAGGTGGACACACAAGCTGTTATGAGTTAGGTGTTGCTGCAAGCTCATTGTCTGTGTAGAGGGGAGCTCAGAGGCTTCTTTGCTCCTCTCCATGGAGAAGACTTTAGCAAGTGTGAATTCCTGGGAAGAAAGCTCCTGCAAGAGTCAGAGATTATTCAGTCTCTGATGGCCAAAGGCTCTACCAGGGAGTGTGAAGTGATCTGAGCAGTCAGAGACTGAGGTGTGTGTCTCAACTATTTTCAGACGATTGAGCCAGGTGATGTGTTCTGGACGTGCAACAAGGGATACCACAAGGTGCCCCGCAGCCTGCCTAACGGTGATGTTCTGATTGCCAACATGGGAGATCCCGCTGGCAACGGGAAAGGTACTTTGCCCACTAATATCTCCCTGAAGGAACTGACGGGTTTGGAAGTGGAGTATGTGATTTTTCACGCATCCCCTTTCTGTATCCCAGGTGGGTTTATTGTGCTGGATTGTGAGACCTTTGAGCTGAAGGGGAACTGGGAAAACGAGTGTGAGGCCCCCCCCACTGGATACGACTTCTGGTACCAGCCACGCCACAATGTTCTCGTCAGCTCTGC